CCCCAAAACCCCAAAACCCCAAAACCCCAAAACCCCATGTAACAAAGAGTTATGGAGTCAAGTCAAATTAAAAAATGGTGCAGCACTTCTGGCTCGAGTTTGGCTCTTGCATTGTCTTCTGGGAGTCCTTAGGCCTACTCGTACTCATCTTAGTATTTCTATCACCTTTCTTACTATCCTTGTGGAAAGAAGTCTCAATGGTCTGAGATTCATCATCTATAACAGGTGTTAGGAAAGGATTATGATCGAACTAAAACATACGATCCTTAGCTAATTTCTTGCCTCTTTCTTTAAAAGATTGTAGCATTGAAGATTCCTTCCTTGAAGTTTCTTCATAGCTATTCGTCTGAATATGGTTCGGCAAATGTCTTGCTATATTAGGAATTAGAGTGCAAATATATAACAAAGATAATAGAAACTCGAGAATTAATGAAATTGATTAAAACTAAGCTCTAAGATCTGTCACATTGTCAAATTCACTTACAACTTGAGTATTCCACTTTACTCTCTTCGTAATGAATGTCTCCAAGACTTTGGTTTGACAACTATAACAATATCCAAAGTAAACTTACAAGCTTCTGCATGTTCTTGAACATATTGATATCAAATCCGGGAAGTTTTCTCTCAGAAAGAACTTGGACGGCTGCTAAATCTCAGATATACTTCTGTCTAAGCTGATGGTTGTAAGAATTGACCATGTGCATGTACATCTGTTCTCCATTGATCTTCCAGTTATGGGCATTGGCAGGCAAAGGCTCCTTCTCATATTCAGTAGATCTGAAGTCCTCTTTAGGCATAACACTGTTCCTCCTCCTGTGATGCACCATGGAGGCTCTCACACTTCTGTTATGCCCAATGTCATCAATCATGAGAGATGATTTAGTCATCCTGTTATTAGCAGCTTTGCTTCTTTCGAGGATTACTTGCAGAGGGATTTGCTGCACTGGGGTCTCTCCCTTAGAAACTCTCTTTTTGAAAGTACTCTATATTTAGGGTTAAATCAGGACTGTTTCAAGTAAGTTTTAGAGAATTTAAGTTATCTTTGAAGAATGCATAAATATCGAGCTGATCAGAAGGAAATTATCAATTAGGTTTAAAGAAATTTATTAGCTATTTTCACTCATAATATTTTATTAGTGTTTGTGTACGAAATCTGAGATTCTCAAAACAATCTAGATCTTCATGCTATGTTCCAGATGTGATCAATAGATTTCAGTGTTAAAAAGCAATATCCAAGCACTTAAGTTGTTAAAGAAGAGAATTCTTCTCCAATAAGCTTGATAACTTCTAGAATTGAGGAACTTTGCTTGTAAATAATGGAAAAGAGTCACACAAAGTGAGCTTTTCACAAAACCAGAGGAGGCCTATCTCTGGAGATATTTATAACATTCTTCGGGCAGTTTAGGAAAACAATTAGAGGCTTCGCTTACTTGTTTCACCATTATTTCTGGAGCATCCTTGGTAAATGTCTTATGTGCCTCAAGAGGATTTCCGACACTCATTCCTATGTAAAATTATAACACATTAACTGGGTTCCAAGCTTGGATTTTATTAGATTAGAACAGTTTTCTAGGATCTCTAGCAGATCTGAGCCATTATTTGAGCTGGAAGACATCTTCAGAAAGTCTTTAGAATGACAAAATATTATGTATGATTAATATCTTACAAACAGATATTGAGCAACAACTATGGGCGACGCCAGGTCCTTACTCTTCATACAGAAAGTTCAGAGAAAATCAGAATTTTAGGCTTAATCCAAAATTTAAAGGGAGGGAAATACATTTGGATCATTACTCCACTAGAGGCTCACTTTCAAAACTGAGAAATTTATTATGAGTAAATAGCTTTGTATTCTTTCATAGATAAAGTCTTGAGAGGGCAAAGCTTTATTTTAACTAACTAAGCAGATAGTTTATTAACCAACACATCAAGAAATGCAATCATAGAATATTTATAGACCTAAATCGTTGCAATAATTGGGAATTACTCTTAGGACAAGAAATATTTCTTACCTCTGTATTTTTCTGAGGCCATAGAGTCTGTTACATTTTTGTCTCCCTCCTCTTCTTTATCATCATCCTTTTCATTTGGGTCTTCTTTAGTATCAAAACTTCCTCTAGAATTACTCACAATATCCGATCTAAATGAAGATTTTGAAGTTATTTCTTCATCTTCAGTAATCGAAGATTTTTGCATTTCATGGACATCATCATCTTCACCATCTCTAGCTCCGAGGAACTCAGTAGACTCTAGGCTTCCATCAACTCTCATATTAAGAGAGTCTTGCTTGACATATTCTTCTTGTACTTCCTCCATAGACACCAGAGAAGACATAGACCCTCTGATCTCATTATTATAAACAGCGTTCCCAGTAGGTTGAATATTTCCTGCATTAGTCCCCTTCAGCTGATTAGAAAGGATATTAGAGCTCTTCATATTATTAGTCGCATTCATCATATTAGTAGACTGCATTAGTGTATTCATCATCATATTTGATTTACCAAGCAAAAAGGTTTTCAAGGCAGGAAGATCTGTCTTCCCAATCTTGTAGACCTTTTCATTAAGGACTTTATTCTCAGTAGTAATTTGTTCAATAAGTTTCCAGTGTTCTTCTAGTTCGAGACTGATATCGTCAACTCCTGAATTAAGATTAATATGCTCGGTTATAAGTTCTTGCTGCTTCCTCATGATCTTCTCTACTTCATTATCTATCCTTGTCAGCACTCTCTCTTGTCCCTGGAATTGCTCTTTATTAGACTTAAATTGATTAAGGATCTGGTTAGTGACATCTACTAAGCTCTTTACAACTTTTGTCAGTCTGATAGCTTCAACAGAGTAATCATCAGTCTTGGCATTAAAAGTGTTAAAGTTATTATTCCTCCTCGGCCTCTTAGTCTCTGTTGTTTTTATAAGATTAAAGCTATGACTGAGGTTGCTATCCTCAAGATCATTGCCAAAATCTGCGCTTCTCTCATCTCCTAGTTCTTCTTTTACTTTATATTCATTCTTAATTTTCTGCATTCTTCTCTCATTGCTCCTGTTCATACTCTCAAGGTTGTAGTTTTCCTGGCTGATGTGCTCAATCTGTTCTTCTCTTCTAGCAAGGATTCCTTCGACAGTTTCTAGAAACATCAGAGCTTAAGAACTTACCTAATTTCTGCTTAAGCAGTTCATTCTGGTTTTCAAGGTCAATTTTTAAGCCAGAGTCTTCATCCAAGTCGTCCTCCCTAGAGTAGTGATTAATGATTCAAGCAAAATTTGGAAATTTAGAGACTGTTAATAATTGGGAAATAGCTTTTTAGGTATAAATTAAAGAGAATTAGTCATCAATTCTTCCAAACACCTTCCTAGTGCTTTATGCTAGACAGTTTTTGACTGATAGTTGCCATGATTAACAAATAGTTACGCATAAGTTATATATAAGCACCGATCAGTCATTTAATATCTCTATATGAACTGAGAAAACCTGGCTTTAAGTAAGTCGAGCCAGCCTTACCCAGAATTTTAGATGAAGATCGGAGGTTGTGCCACTTCAGGCTAGATAATGTAATAAAGCCTTCCAATAATCTCCAGATAGTAGCTACCGGTTGGATAACTACAGTAGTCCCAGGTTTATAGAAAGTGACAATATGAAAATTAATTGACGAATGAAGTTAAGCTATCTAAGTGAAATCTTGAGATTAAATGTGATTCATTTCTAATTTGTCAATCCTAGTAGAGTGACGTAAATATTGGAAAACCCTTGACTTACTTTTCTTCAGTCAACTTTTTGCATTTGTCAAGCAAGTGAGAAGATAACTCTATTAATTTCTGTGTTTCTCCTGTATCAGTTGCTCTATAATTGGGTTAGCGCTCGAAGCAGTAATTGTTTTAAATAGTATCCTCTTTTCAGACAAGATTAGGGGAATCACCACTGAAAAGGCTTCATAAAGGGAAAACAAAGACTTACTTGAGAAGAGATGTGTCATTTGCCTCCAGAGTTAGTTCAGGATCTCTTTTATCATCTCTCCGGTCTATAATACAAGTGTTAGGATGGGAATAGAATCAAAACCTATTCAGTCCTAACCTAGAAGATCTATCTTAATAGGCCCTCTACCTCACACAGATAGTGTAAAGGATGTATGCGATGGATTACCTTCGTGCATGCTTATCAAATGTCCAGCAATTTTGTTAAACTCTTCCTCTAGCCTATCTAATTCCTCCATTATGAATTATTAGTAGTGATCCAATATATTATAACTAGAATGGGGTTTTGGGGTTTTGGGGTTTTGGGGTTTTGGGGTTTTGGGG